CATAGACATCCCAAAACCCGGTGTCACAAGTGCATGAGCAATTTCTAAGAAATAATGTAATACAACAACCGTCCGGAATACAATATTGGATAGAAAATAAATATAGTAATCTGAAAGAGACTTGCTGGCTGCGGGTCATCTCGAAAATGCAGCTCACCTAAGTCTCTGTATCAACCATGCTGCTACGCTCACTAGGCCACTAGAGATGCATGTGCCTGTGCAACAAAAATGCACAGACGTGTAGTATGCGTATGAAAACAATGTGTACCCAATGAGTATCCCGTCTAATCTCGAAGAAGTAGAGACGAGAGGTCGACTTTGACACTTACTAGGGGTCCAATAGTGATATATCATTAATGCGAATAATCATGGATTTATTAAGAATGACAATAATTTCAAATAAGTCACGAACAGGTAAAAGTTCCTTTTTATATTAAAGGTCTCCGGATTCATAGTCCATTAATTTTCAATTATCTCAAGTCGGAGAGAGTAAATATCAATATCAATAAATCTCAAGGCAAGCAATACAAGCATGCGCAAATCATGCCGAGGTCGTACGGCCCGATCCAACAATATTTAAAATGTGCACTGCCGAGGGTCGAACGACACGAACCATAGATGTGTCTATTACCCCGTTCGTGAATCATACGTGCGACACAGTCAAATATAAATAAACACAACAATCAGTCAATCAAGAATTCATCAAGGAATAATTATCCAAGGAAAAGCCAATTCTCTTTTAACAATTCAAGAAAATGAAGTTTAATCTTTTTAGAAATTCATTTACTAATCGATGTGATTTAAGCAAATCAAACTGTCAATAAGATTACAGATATTCCAAATATAGCATGCTTTTGGGTCCTAAACTACCTGGACTTAAACATAATAGCAGCTATGCACGGACTCTCGTCACCTCGTGCGTATGTAGCACCCACAAATAGGAGCACATTACCAATTAATTCACCTATAGGGACAATTCCCTCTTACAAGGTTAGAAAGGAGACTCACCTCGCTCCGAAAATCCATAACCGACATTCCACGCTCTTTCGAAGACTCGAATCGATGCACAATACTCCCAAACTAGCCAATAATGATGCAGATCCATTAATATATATTCAATTAATCATTACAATCCAATTTATAATAATTCCTAACCTCGATCGAGAAGTTGACAAAAACGCCCTCGGGCCCACGTGCCCGAATTTCGAAAATTTTCGAAGATAAGATTTACCCATGAACTCACGAAGTCAAATATATGATTTTCTCTTAATTCCATACCCATAATCGCGGTTAAATTCCAAGAATATCAATTTTCTAGGTTTTCCCTCAAACCCCAAGTTTTTCTACAAATTTCCATGTCCAAATCCGTATTTAACTCAAAACTAGCATAAATTACTTACCTCATGCTTGGTGGTGAAAATGGCACCTCAAAGTTGCTCTAAAATCGACTCCAATAAAAGAAAATGGGGTTGTAATGTACCCAACCCCCAATTTAAAAGAACCTCACCGCCTCCAGTATTTTTCGCACTTGCGGTCTCCTGACCGCTTCTGTGGTTCCGCAGGTGCGAGACCAATTACCGCTTCTACGGTTCGGGGCTTCCCAGCCCATTCCACTTCTGCGCCCTCTCTACCGCAGATGCGGTCCCGCATCTGCGACCAAACGACTGCATCTGCGGTCCCATCTCTCTTCCGCCAATACCGCATCTGCGACCATAGGGCCATTTCTGCGGCTCCACACCTGTGGCCCTAGCATCGCAGGTGCGGTTACACCAGCAACCAGCAACTTCAGCTCTTCTTCAAACTCCAAATTCGATCCGTTAACCACACGGAATCCACCCGAGGCCCCCCGGGACCCCAACCAATCATGCCAACCAGTCCCTAAACACATTACAGACTTGCAAATCATATCAAACAACGCTAAAACCACGAATCGACCTCCAATCCAAGCTTTATGAACTTTAGAATTTCAAACTTTTACTTTCGATGTTTAAACCTATCAAATCACGTCCGATTGACTTCATATTTTGCACACAAGTCATATTCGACATTACAGACCTACTGCAACTTTTGGAATTGGATTTCGACCCCGATATCAAAAACTCCACTTCCGGTCAAACTTGACAAAAACTTTCAAATTTCTATCTTTAGCCAAATGACTCCAAAATGACCCACGGACCCCCGAATTCACTTCTGATCGCTCTCCCAACTCCAGAATCACCATACAGAGCTACTCCCAGACTCGAAATCCCAAACGGACATCGATTACACCGAAATGCACTTCAACCCAAACTTATGAAATTCCTTCAAAATGCTAACTTCCACAATAGGCGCCAAAACGTTCCCGGGTCTTCCAAAACCCGATCCGGACATACGCCCAAGTCCGAAATCATCATACGAACATGATGGAACCTTTGAATCCCGATTCTGAGGTCGTTTACCCAAAATCCAACATTAGTCAATTCTTCTAACTTAAAACTTTCGAAATGAGAATTCTCTTTCCAAATCAACTCCGAACTTCCCGAGATTCAATTCTGACGATGCATACAAGTCATAATACCTGAAGTAAAGCTGCTCATTGCCTCAAACTGTTGAACGATGCGCTAGAGATCAAAATGACAGGTCGGGTCATTACACTGTTGCTCTTCCTTGATATCCTTCCTTCAACAGTTGTTTATAATGAAGGTTTGCTCCTTGATTGTTGGTCCTTCCGAAATTAGCCGCTTAGCAATCTTTACAAGATCTTCGATCTTCCGGATATGCTGGCCTTGATTAATGCCTTAAGTTTAGGCTTGCTTGATTCTTTCCATCGCAGCTGTCCGTAATCTTTGCTGATTGATTTCTTCCCTTAGGCATCCAGATTTGCTGATTGATTCATAATCTTTGCTGATTGATTTCTTTCCTTAAGCATAAATATTGACTTCAGCGATCTTGTATCATCTTCTTGATTCCTTGTTCTTCTGTAATTGATTTCCTGCATAGATATATTATTTGCATCATTAAAACTAGATCTAACATTCGCGTTTATACCTTTGCGAATGCGAAGAACAAAATTTGCCATCTCAGAGAACACTCTTCGCGAATGCGAAGCCCTTTCGTGAACGTGATGAAAAAACCTTCTGCAACACAAACCAGCAAAATCTGCCAACACTCAAAACCAAAGATTGGTCCGTTAACCACCCGAAACTCACCCGAGGTCCTCGGGACCTCAACCAAACATGCCAACATATCCCATAACATCATTCAAACTTCTTCCAACCTTCAAAACTCTCAAAACAACATTAAAACACCAAGTTCACATCGGATTCAAGCCTAAGAATTCCAAAAAAACTTCAAAATTTCACTTTCGATCAAAATGTCTATCAAACCTCGCTCGAATGTCCTGAAATTTTGCACATACATCACAAAGGACAAAACGAACCTACTCCAACTTCCAGAATTCCATTCCGACCCCTAAATCAAAATCTCACCTATCAACCGGAAAATGCCAAAATTCTAATTTCGCCAATTCAAGCCTAAACCTTCCACGGACCTCCAAAATACATTCCGATCACGCTCCTAAGTCTCAAATCACCTAACGGAGCTAACCAAATCACAAAAATTCCAATCCGAGATCGTATACAAACAAGTCAAAACTTGGTCAACCCTTTCAAATTTATGCTTCAAACTGAGAACTGTTCTTCCAAATTCATTCTAATTACCCTCAAAACCAAAACCAAAGATTTACATATGTCATAGTACGCCACACGGGGCTAGGAATGCCCGAGAACTGGCGAGCGAAATGCAAAAGCTCAAAACGACCGGTCTGGTCATTACATTTTCCTTGTGAATGAGACATTAACCACATGGACAGTGCGACGAAAGATCTTATAGTACAAATGTAACGACCAGGCCGATTGTTTTGAGAATTTATGTCCCATTCGGCGGCATAAGGTCTTTAGCGACGTCTTATTATGTGTTATGACTTGCGTGCATGGTCGAGTTCAGTTACCGGATGATTCAAAGTCAAAATGGAAGAAGGATTCAAGTTTTGGAAGTTTAAGCGGTGAGAGTTGACCGGAATTTAACTTTTGTGTAAAAAACTCCGGAATGAGTTGTGGAGCTTTCAACAACTTCGTATGGTGATTTGGGACTTAGGCGTGCGCCCGGATTTGGATTTGGAGGTCCGTAGGGTAAATTGAGGCATTTCGATGTTGATTTGATAGGTTTCGGCGTGAGTATTGTAGACATGTAATTTTTGACCCTCCCCGAAATTTTATACCGTTTAGTGCTTAGATGTTGGTTTTAGGCCTAATATCGCTATTTTGACCTTTTTAAATGTTTTTGTTTTATTTAATCTTAAAATTTAAAAAACTACAAAAATATTTTCTTTGTTTAGCTTATTAATATTTTGACTAGTTAGTTTTATTTTATTCTTACAAAAGATAAAAAAAGGAAAAGTTTCAAAAAATACTTTTACTTAGTAGTGTGAATTTTAAGTTATAGGTCTTATATAAGTATTGAGTAGTATTTAAGTTTCTTTAATATAGATATCTTATTTTTCTTTTTAACTATTCTCAATTATTTTAAATAATTAGCATTTTGGGGTTTATCTTTACAAAAAAAAAAGAAGAAGAAGAGGAAATTAGAAAATAATGAATGGAAAAAAAGCAAACCCAAAAACAAGAAAAATAAATATGTTTTGCTTCAGTCACGACATTTGGCGATTGCAAGTAGCAATGTGTGGCATTCACAATTTTCTTGAAAATCTTATATCTTTAAGTAGTTATTTACCTTTCTTTTATGTTTAATAATAATGTTGCTTGAAATTAATATTAGTATTTGTAGTATTTTCTATTTTGTTATTATTATATCATTACCTTTATCTCTCACTCTAACTAACTCACATTTTAATCCCTTCCCCTTAGAAAATAGGCACAACACACTACCCTCACAAACTTAGATCCCTTCCATTCATCTCACGTGACATTGAAAGGGGCTCACACGTTTCTTAGGTTCCAAGAATTTTCCACCATGAGCATTTTTATAGGAAAAGTCCATAAAATTGGAAAACCGAGACCCTAGACCTAAGACTGAGGACCACCGTTTTCTTCACCCCTTTTATTAGCTATTTTAGCTCCCCCAAGAGGAGCAGCGACACCTCCCCAAAAATGGAGATTTCTCCATTGTTTCCATAGCCAGATTCTTACCTCGTCTCCTCTCAAAAAGCTTCAGTCACCCCACCCTCTTAAAAAAAACCCTATTGCCACCTTCAAAGCCAGTCACAAAACAGGCCTTGTTAAGGTCTTTTGTTGTGGTATTTGTTCGGATTGAGTCGAGTTCGCCACTGTCGTTCGAGATCCGGTCTTGGTTCGAGATTTTCGTACATTTAGCTCAAGTTTTCTGGCCAGTTGTTTTGGTCGTTGATTCAAAGATGTGACCTTCAATGGAGTTTCTTCATGTTTAAAATAAAGAAAGATTTTATTCAAAGAAGCCGGATCTGCTTGTAGTTTTTGGATCTTTCACTAAATTAAAGAAGTTCATCTGAGGTTTATTCTTCACACTCCTTTCACTATTTTCATTTTTGTGTGGTACAATAGTAAAATATGCTATTAAATCCATGAAACTATCCTTAGTTATTGGGATCAATGTCAAGTTTATTCTTAGGCTCGTTTATTTCTCTTCTGCTATTTCTTACACTCTACTTGTGTTGAGCTATGTTAGATCCGAATTGTCATCTAGTGTTTAGTTTTCTTTTTAAAATGCTTTTGATGAGTAGTTTAAATTTTTAGTTTAAATTCTTATAGTTCTAAGTAAGAGGTTTTGTTGTTAGAACTTTTCTTAAGTTTAGATTTCTTTAATAAGCATCCTCGTCATCTTTTCTTAAAAGTGTCCATAACATATAAAAGGTTTTGTTCTTTTATGTGAAAGAAATTTTCAATTAATAAAGTTTCTAAAGGCTAAGTCTACAAGGTCCATCACGTCAAAACAAATGCAGACTTCCCCATCAATCTCAAGCTTATGTACTACTAGTAGTATTTTATTATTTAAATTTTGTGGGTCAGTAGAGTCAGAATGGTCTCCTATTGTTACAAAGTGGACTGAGATCATGTTTTAATCGCTTTTGATTATTTACCATCGATTTCTGTATTTACTCATAATTGCTTAGATGACTATTTTGTCTTAGATACTTTCTTTGCTTGGATTTTTGACTTCGTTTATTCTGTTCTTATCTGCCACTGTTTGCGTGTTTCTTTGTTGGAAATTGGTCGTGGAGGCATTGGGCTAAACTGAAATGAAAATCAAAACTTCAATGTTTGTTACTTATTTACTTGAATAATTGCTAGTATGCTTTAGGCGCGTATTAATAAATAAGTATCGTAACTGTGTACACGTTCGCGTGACATAATTACGATTTTCAAAATAAATCGAGGTATGCATTCGCGCAACTTCGGCCAAACTTTCTTAATATTAATAAAGCGTGATTAATTGTGGACACGTACGCGTGACATGATTTCTACGCGCCAAATAAAATGAGTACACGTACGCGTGACTCACATTAGGATAATTTCTTAATTAAAAGCGATATGAGGTAAATGAACATAGGTTTTAAAATAAGTAATTAGATAATTTAATAAGTCAGGTATGATCAAAGCGACCGTGCTAAAACCACAGAACTAGGGAATGCCTAACCCCTTCTCCCGGGTTAACAGAATTCCTTACCCGAATTTTTGTGTTTCGCAGACTGTATAACAGAGTCAAACTTCCTCGATTCGATATTTTATCCAGTGACTTGGGACACCATAAATTATCCCAAGTGGCGACTCTGATTTAATGTAAAATAAATCCCGTTTCGATCATTGTCACTTTAATTGGAAAAACTCCATTATACTCCCCTTTCAGGGGTAGAAAAAGGAGGTGTGACAGCTCTAGCGACTCTGTTGGGGATAAGAACCCAAAACTTCTGGTTCAGGGTTCAAGAATTCGAGCTTGTTTTGTGATATTTATTTGGCTTTATTTATTGTTCATATTACTGTATTTGTGGACCTAATGTGCTAACTGCTGCTTATTTACCACTTTGATATTATTGAAAGTTATTAAACTGTCTTCTTACGCTTCCCATCTGAGTCTTCTAAAAAAAATGGTGCACACGTTCGCGTGACCCACTTTTTCTGTTAGAAGTTATACCAAATAAAATGAGGCTGGGCCAGCAACAAGGCCGGGTAAACTTTCGTGCTCCTGGTACACTGTCCCCTCTTCGGCTCGAGTAGTCCGCTCAGATAAGCCAGGTCAAGAACACAATCCAGGTTTAAACATAGAATAATATAACCTCATGTCGGATCCCTAGTAGGAACGTTTGTTGTATCACGTGCATTTGACTTAGGGGACTCAACACAAGGGTTGGGTCCGTCTAGGACAAGTGTACCCCAAAAATAAAAGACCATCCTGATGCATCCTATGTGCTACATGTTGCATTTCTTTAAGGGTAAAAGGGTCATTTGGCGGACCAATGATGACTGAGGGTAAATGAGAAAGAAAAGAGGGTGAAGTGTGAAAATAAAGCAAGAAAGATCCAGTTATGTCTTTCTTTTACATTTTTTTTAAGAAAAAGACAAAAGAAAAAAACATGAAAAAAAATCCAAAAAGATTTTGCATTTTCCCTTTATTTTTTTTAAAAAATAAGACAAAAATATGTTTTCTCTTAATTAGTTGTTTTTTTATTATTTCTCGACCGTATCCAATCTGTCCGAACTACGCATACCTGATTCTCGTCTTTCGGGGCGGGATACGTAGACAGCCCACATAGGGTCCAGTCTTCCTAGTAAGTCTTAGGTTCTTGGATTCGCGTGGTCTTAGCCAAATCTTGCATTTTTAGCCACTTTTAGCCATATAGGTTAATTTTAGCAAAATAGCTCCAATCATGTCTTGCATATGTCCAACAGGAAGTGTTATTGTCTCACATAGTGTTCTAGGTCTTTAACTTATTTGGTCTTAATTTTCTCATACAGGTGTGGATCTGCTTATCGGAGTTTGAGCATGACAAACGCCCTAGGACCATATAGTCAGGGTCGCTCGTTCAGGAGTTGCTTAGGGAGATTTTTGTTATTTATTATGTTTTGAGTCTGTTTTTCTTTTTATGTTATCTTTTACCTTCTAGCTTTGTACAGTAATGTTGAGTCTTTTAGGTGATGTTAGAGTCTGTCATAGTCTAGTTAAGTTTGCCGAGTCTTTCGTTATTGTATTTCCTATCTTGTATTTGAAAAATGTGTTGTAAATCAAAAATCCAAAAAAGGAAATTTCGCGTTTTTATATTTCCATTAGAAGTTTTCTTTAGAATACTAATTCTAGGAATAAAAAAAATCGTTTGAGATGGTTTTCCTTTATTGAATTAATATCCAGAACTCAAAATCAAAAATTGCCTTTATGTTTCCTTTTAGTACATTAAGACTAAAAATTCAAAAAAAAAAGAGAACTTTCTTTTAGTACCTCTTTTAAAATTTTCTTTAAGATATTAATTCCAAAGTTCCAAAAAGATTTTCTTTTGAGGTACTTCTTTGGGAAATTAATGAAAAATGAATAAAAAAAATTTCTTTTTATTTTTACTAGAACTTTAGGACATTGTACATAGAAAAAAAAAATAACAACATACTTTATCTTTGGTTTATTTTCAGAGTTTCTCCCTTACGTAATCAAATCGAAATCCAAAAATATTTTTTTTATCGTTTTCATTTCTTGGTTCGAAATCTTTCTTTCAGGATATCAAACAAAAATTCAAAATATTTTTCTTTGGTTCATTCTTTGGATTTCCTTCCTAAAAAAAAGAATCAATTTTTTTTGTAACGACCTGACTGGTCTTTTTGCCTTTTTGAACCCTGTTTCCTTAAATAAGACTTCCCGCGCTTGCTTTAGCTAATTTACGACTTGCGGGGACGGTTGGTTCGGGATTCGGAAGAGTTTGGAGTGAAATATTCCCATTTGGTTCCTTAGGATTTTCTTTTGAGGTACTTCTTTGGGAAATTAATGAAAAATGAATAAAAAAATTTCTTTTTATTTTTACTAGAACTTTAGGACATTGTACATAGAAAAAAAAATAACAACATACTTTATCTTTGGTTTATTTTTCAGAGTTTCTCCCTTACATAATCAAATCGAAATCCAAAAAGTATTTGTTTTTATCGTTTTCATTTCTTGGTTCGAAATCTTTCTTTCAGGATATCAAACGAAAATACAAAATATTTTTCTTTGGTTCATTCTTTGGATTTCCTTCCTAAAAAAGAATCAAAAATATTTTTTGTAACGACCTGACTGGTCGTTTTGCCTTTTTGAACCCTGTTTCCTTAAATAAGACTTCCCGCGCTTGCTTTAGCTAATTTACGACTTGCGGGGACGGTTGGTTCGGGATTCGGAAGAGTTTGGAGTGAAATATTCCCATTTGGTTCCTTAGGATTTTCTTTTGAGGTACTTCTTTGGGAAATTAATGAAAAATGAATTAAAAAATTCTTTTATTTTTACTAGAACTTTAGGACATTGTACATAGAAAAAAAAAATAACAACATACTTTATCTTTGGTTTATTTTTCAGAGTTTCTCCCTTACATAATCAAATCGAAATCCAAAAAGTATTTGTTTTCATCGTTTTCATTTCTTGGTTCGAAATCTTTCTTTCAGGATATCAAACAAAAATTCAAAATATTTTTCTTTGGTTCATTCTTTGGATTTCCTTCCTAAAAAAAGAATCAAAAATATTTTTTGTAACGACCTAGCTGGTCATTTTGCGTTTTTGAACCCTGTTTCCTTAAATAAGACTTCCCGCGCTTGCTTTAGCTAATTTACGACTTGCAGGGATGGTTGGTTCGGGATTCGGAAGAGTTTGGAGTGAAATATTCCCATTTGGTTCCTTAGGATTTTCTTTTGAGGTACTTCTTTGGGAAATTAATGAAAAATGAATAAAAAAAATTTCTTTTTATTTTTACTAGAACTTTAGGACATTGTACATAGAAAAAAAAAGAACAACATACTTTATCTTTGGTTTATTTTCAGAGTTTCTCCCTTACGTAATCAAATCGAAATCCAAATTTTTTTTTATCATTTTCATTTCTTGGTTCGAAATCTTTCTTTCAGGATATCAAACGAAAATTCAAAATATTTTTCTTTGGTTCATTCTTTGGATTTCCTTCCTAAAAAAAAGAATCAAAAATATATTTTGTAACGACCTGACTGGTCGTTTTGCCTTTTTGAACCCTATTTCCTTAAATAATACTTCCCGTGCTTGCTTTAGCTAATTTACGACTTGCGGGGACGGTTGGTTCGGGATTTGGAAGAGTTTGGTGTGAAATATTCCCATTTGGTTCCTTAGGATTTTCTTAAAAAAACTAAGTTGACTTGGGTCAATATTTTGAGCAAACGGACCCGGATTCGTAATTTGACGGTCCAGGAGGGTCCGTAGGAAAATATGAGACCTGAGCGTATGCCCGGAATTGAATTCTGAGGTCCCTAGACCGACTAATGAATTTTAATTAGAAATTATTAATATGAAGTTTTAAAGATTTAAAGAAACTAATTAATGATTGATTTCATGGGTATCGGGCTTGTATGTTGGTTCCGAAGCCCGGTACAGGTCCGATATATCATTTAAGACTTGCCCGCAAAATTTGGTATCAATCTGAGTAGTTAAAGTGCGTTTTGGCCCGTTGGAGGAAAATTGAGAACTTAAAGTTCATAAGTTTGGTTCATTTGGTTTTAGGGAGTGATTCTTAGATTTAGCGTTGTTTCGGGTGTTCCAAAGGTTCGAGTAGGTCCGTTTCGTGATTTTAGATGTGTCGGTATGTTCGGGAGGGGCCTGGGAGCCCCGAGCGTCAATCGGACGAGGCTCGAGTGAAGTAAAATTTTTTGAGAAGTGCTGAAGCTGCTGCTTCTGTCATAACCGCACCTGCGGTTGGCGGACCGCAGGTGCGAGACCGCAAATGCGGCCCAGGAAAGGCCAGGCAAAACAATAGAAGCGGCCCTCGAACCGCAGAAGCGGCCCCAGGACCGCAGAAGCGGTCCCAACCCTTTTTGCCAATTTCGTAGATGCGACCCTTTTATCGCAGATGTGGGACCGCATATGCAGTCCCCTGACCGCAGATGCGGAAATCGCTGAGGCAGTGAGTTCATTTATTACGGGTTCTAAGTCCATTTTAGCCATATTTCACTCCTCCATTGTGCGATTTTAGAGCTTTTGAGAGAAGACCTTCACCTAGCATCTTGAGGTAAGTGTGTTCTACCTATTTCTACTTTAATATTTATGTCATAGGTAGATTAAACACTAGAATTAAGGTGAAATCAAGGGTTTAGAGCAAAACCTAGGGTTTTGACAAAAGTTAGATTTAACCACGTAGTTTGTTATGAAATGAATTAGAAATCATATATTATTGATCCTTAGGTTATGGAGGACAACTTCCTTCGAAAAATTTCGGACTCCGGGCACGTGGGCCTGTGGTCGGATTTTGGGAAACTTGTGTTAAGGGTTGGAAAATTGCTAAATAGCTAGAATATGATCTTGTGAGCTTATATTGACTAGTTCCTACCTCATTTAACTAGTTTTGGATCGTTCGGCTCCAAACTGAGAGTTCAAGCTCGTTCTTGGTATTGGAAGTGCACTTTGGAGCTAGGTGAGTCTCCTTTATAACCTTGTAAGAGGGAATTGCCCCCATAGGTATAATAATTGAATTAATTGCTATTATATGCGGGGGCTACGTACGCATCAGGTGACGAGAGTCCGTGCGTAGCTACTATTATGTTAGTCCGGGTAGTCTAGGGCCCAAAAGCATGCTCTACGTGATATTCTTGTAACTTGATGATAAATTCGGATTCGTATAAATTAAGTTGATTAAGGTGGATGAGATTAGTAGAGGAACCTTATCTTGCTTGGTCTTTTAAAAGAGAACTTTAATATTCCTGTGAATAACTACTCCCCAGATACACATTATTGACTGCTTGTTGATGAGTTTATTTATATTTGACCACGTCGCACGTGTGATTCGCGAGCAGGGTAATAGATACATCTATGGTTCGAGCCGTTCGACCCTCGACAGTGCACAATTTACTTTTATGTTGGATCGGGCCGTACATCCCTTGGTGTTACTTGTGCATGCTGTACTTAGTATTTCTCTGTGGACTGAACTTCATGTTTGCCTTGGAACGTAAATGGATACCCATGATATTAATTGTAAGAATAACTGTTATTCCCTGCCATACAATGT